GCTTGTTGACAAGAGGGTGGAGTATCCTACTTAAAAATGAACAGGTTGTAAAGAGCTGCTGTAAAGTGGGGGGTCAGCAGAGGAGAGAGCCACTTCGCTCCTGGAAGTCTCCATGTCAGTGTTTGCTCCAGTGGAGGGCTGAATGTGGGCACCAGTATCCATGTGGGTTTCAAGAGTGGTACTTTATGAGTATGTGTGCTCCTAACCTCACTCATGTGCGATTGCTGCTCCTTTGTTTGTGGTTTTTGTTCTGTTCGTGAGGTGAGGTGGGGTTCTGGAGGAGGAAGTTCCTGTGACAGGAAAAATGTGTTTGTGCTGTTTCTCAGTATAGACGTGATCTGAGGATCGTTGCAGGGTGGTTACTCCTTTAGACCCCTGAAATTTTCACATTTTTTAGTTGAACAAGGAAGTGAAATACAAAGAAATCATAAAGTGAAAATGAGAAGCAAAAGAGTGCGGTATTTGTGAAGATGGCCGCAAAGAGTTCACTTGAGGGTTCACAAATAACTAAAGTAGCCAAGAAGTTGCAAAAATATGCACTACTTTTATTCCTGATAACCTGAAAACACTGAAAGAGGGCTCTGTTGAAGAGAAGTGACAATAAGAGAACAAGTCATAAAAATCATTTGATTTTTTTTTTATAAAACATTTCAAAATAGAGATGGATTTTAAAAGAACTGAGTTAGAATTGTATATTTATGAATGAAGATGAAATAAAACCATTTACACTTACATCAAGATCACAGAGAATAAGCATTTGTTGTATCATACTACTGGAAGATAATTAGGGATTCAAAGCTCCAAGTTTGCCTTTCCAGTAAAGACACAACATGAATGTAGCATCTGCATCCAGTCCTGAGTTTCAAGTTTTGGAGTCTGAAGTCTTTTTATGATAAATGTTGAAGCAGCTGCACAGCAAATATAGCCTGTCCTACATTGTGAGTATTTGAGGTAAGTTTATGAAATAGAAATTCCTAAAAGCATTGATCAGACAGCACTCTGAGGAAATTGATTATTAAAAATAAGGTGATGTTAAAAACTTATCTGAAAATGATCAGGACGATGTGAACAGACTGTGACTCATCTTTTAAAGGAACGGGATCCCCTCTGTTTTTCAGCGTTTTACATTTACAGTTATTTAACTCATGAGAATTGGATATTTTACTAAATTTTACAGTGTTTTTTTTGTTCCCTTATAAATTTACTGTAAGTTTACAGAAATGTATTCCAGTGAAGAGTTGACTTTAATCGATCAATTAGAAGTTGCATCATATAACGTGTTTGAGGATCACTAAAAAAACCTCCTTAGTCATTCCTGGTTTAGTAAACCACATTTGTCCTAAGAAAAAGCAGAGCTGAACTGTGGCTTTGTGCAGCCGCACCGCTCTGTGAGGCGGACGATGGCCAAGCTTGTGATGACTGTTTACTCAGCCCCACTCTGGCTGAACACTGCCACTATTCATCCCACGCCAACACGCTGAGACCGGTGGAAAACTGCACACACACATACCGACGACAACATACAGAGACATTTAATGCCCCCAAATCCCATAAACCTGTGATGTTTACTATGAGACTCCTGTGTTTATATGGTCTCTCTCTGTGAGAAGAATACCAGATACACATCAGAATTAGGTACTGCAGCTGTTCAGTAACAGACTGGTCTGTGTTAACATTTATTCTTCTGCTATCATTACGTGGACAGGAAGTCAGTCCAAGCGTTTTTTTTGTTTTGTTTTGTTTGTCAAGTTTTTTTTTCATTGTTTTGTATTTTTATCATTTTCTTCTGCGGCATGTATCCTTGTTGGTCTTGTTTTCCTTGTCTTGTCATGGTTTTGTCCCTTAGATCAGGTTTCAGCCTTTCCTGTTTTGTCATATCTAACTATCTGTGTCTTTCCTCATTTGATTGTGTGCCGTCCGTGTCTTCACCTGTTGTCTCACCTGCGTCTCATTGCTTGCTTGTTAGTCCTAGTGGGTTTCCTGGTGACTTTTATGGTTATTTTTGGACTTTTCCAGAGTAAATTTTTGTTGATTTGCAGAAAAGATGGATGGTAGTTTCATGAAGATTTTAAGTCTGTCTCACTTCCATGTACAAACTCACATACAAACACAAAGAGTCTGTTCCCTGGAGGATATGAAGGAAAACTTTGAACCTTGAGAGCAAGGTGTTCAGGTATTGCAGTAAGACAACTAACACAAATGTCAAAATTGCAGATCCTACAACATGTTGATGTGGTCATAAGGGGGGAAAAATCCTGAAAAACAACTGTTTAGTATCTAAAACTCAAAGTCAACACTTAGCACAAAATGTGCTTTTTAAACGAACCACCCCATTTATTTAAAAACAATCCCATTACAATCATGCACTGATGAGTTATTGTAAGTCTGGTGAATCACCGTTACCTCAATATAACATTTAGATGTAAAGAGAAGCTCAGGGTCATTAAATTAAATAGCAAATACACCATTACGTTACAACAGAAGTACAATATCGCCACCTTTAGGTCATTTGCTGTAGTGCATGAACTTCATTTTTCAGCAAAGCTCAAGAAGACAAACACTGTCTGGAGTAATTCAGATATAAGTTCAACTTTTTATGAATTCTTGTATTTGCATCTCAAATATTGAAAGCTTTCAACCCTTTGGAAATTCTCTCAGTCTAACAGTTTGAAAAGATCACTGTTTGGTTGAACTGCCATTAGTTATAAAGGGATTTCAGTAAGAAGTTACAAGAACGAGGTGGTAAACCAGTAACTTTGATCAGATATTTTGTCAGAAAAAATTCTCCCCTGTCTACTTTTCTGCCTCCACTTTTTCTTATTCCTGCACTTGTTCTTTCTTTTGTGTTTATTTTTCATGCTCCACTAGTTTTTGCTCTTCCTTTCCCTGTAGTTTTTTCTTCCTTTTTCTTGGTTTGTTTTTGTTGTTTTTCCTCTTTTCTCCAGATCTCTCAGGCTTGGACAGCCCTTAAATGGATGACCGAGAGATGAAATAGAGATAGACAGGAGACAGATGGAGAGAGGTGCTGTAGCGTGAGGTGAGGACTTGTAGTGGCAGTGATGAGAAACTCAAGTAAACAGATTAGCACAGTTGGCACTTGGATATCACCACCAGTCAAATCCCCTAAAAATCCTGCTGCTGAACGAAGGCCAGACTCCTCAACAGGGCAAAAGTGTTTAGGGGAAAACAACTGGGAGCTCACCATGTGTGACTCTAGGTCAATATGATATGTATTAATCGATACACAATAATAACTGAACACATAACACATGATCACAAAACAGCCCATTTTCAGGATTATCTGTGAAATGTCCTTGTTCCACATAGAGGGAAGTCTTCTATAATCTTAATCAAACCTTTTGTTTCCAAATGAACTTCAGGTATTAGGACGCTGAAAATGACCGCAATACTTAATTGACATGTTTAATTCTTCTCTATGAAAGTCTTCATCTCTGTATGTTTGATTTATGGTTGTTACTGTGTGTGTGTGTGTGTGTGTGTGTGTGTGTGTGTGTGTCTGCCCATTCAGGTGGTGAAGATGGAGACTGTGACTGGGTCCTCTACGGGTCCTAAATCCCTATATGTCTCACAGAAGTGAACATCAACTGTGTCTGAAAAATACAAATGGACGTACAATTTGTGGTCTCAAACCTCAAATCTAAAATGAGCTAGAAATGCACTCGGAGAGCGCAGACCTCCGCCAAGCAGCCCATGCCCCCCCATGTGATTCACACCAAAACTTTTACTGTTACGTGTCTTTAATTAACTTTTGTTTGTGTTTAAACTGGTATGTTCACTGTTCATAATGTTCCTAAAACAACAAAGCTCATATTAGATAAATAAATGCATGATTTATTATGCAATATTTTTAAGCGTACACGTCCTTGTATCTTCATTGGTTATCTTTCCATTTTCATTTTCTACCGCTTATTCCCGATAAGATTCGAACCCAGGACCTTCTTGCTGTGAGGTGACAGTGCTAACCACTACACCACTGTGGCGCCCATTGGTTATCTTTCAGCATTGAAAATTCCAACGACACCCTTATTTTTGTGTGTTCTGGATCACAGTATCCAGAATTTTGTCTGGATCAGGATCAACCTTTGACTCCTCATAAAACTCATTGAGATCCTTCTGTGACATTTTTTACTTAAGACTCTGGCCATTTTTATAGAGTTAAATGCAGAAATTCCAAAATTTGCCCTATCTCACAATGATAAAGAATCCTTCAAAAAATTCCTGGATCCAGAAGGCGATCTGGATCAGCACCAAAATGTAATGGGATCCTCCTGGGGCTGAGACGCACCTCTGGTGAAAATCTAAGGCTAACAGACAAACAAACAAACAAACAAACAACCAACCAAACAAACAAACAAACAAACAAACAAGCGCTACCTAAACATTACCTCCTTGGTGGAGGTAACTACAGAAATATCAGAGTTAACTTGGGTCAGGCACTTTTTAAAACTGTATATCAAGGTAATTAGGATAAAGTCGTTAATAAACAGTGCAACTTTGTCTACTCTTGAAGTGTTGAAATGAAAGTCAACCCTAAAGTATCTTTTCACTTCTCCACCTTTTCTCCTGCAGACTACAAGCTGCAAGTTGCAGCAGGTGGAGGATTCTGTAAATGAGCACTTAATGAAGAGAGTTAATCTGTAAATCAGATTGGGGGCGTCCACACGGACATCTTTCTGTCTCTAAATGTTATCCTTAGTGAAACGCTGCTGGACCATATGGGCCATCTGTCCGACAACTCCCCCTGATACAGTAAAACCATGTCTCCTCCTTCTGCTAAGAGGATAGAACCTTTCAAGTGTGTGCGTGTTTGTTCATGTGTATGTGCATGTTAGTGTGTTAGTAAAGTGTTTGCTAATCTTTGCTGCTGTCCTGTTATCTGTTCACCAGGTCAGTGTGCAGTCTGCAAGGCTCAGCTCAGCATCAGGCTGCCTGTGAAGAGTCTTTTGTTTTGCAAGAGAAAAGGAGGAAAAATTGCAGCAATGTACCGATCACCCTCTCTTGAAAACAAGGAATTAATGGTTCTGTATGGAGGGGAAGGAGAACATTTCTTCGTCAGTGATGAGGACTGTGGCAGTGAGGTGAGACAAGATTTGTCTGGAAGAGCTTCAGAGACAATATCCTCAATTTAAACTGCAGTAAAAACCCAAGAGAGTTAAAGATCTGCTAAATTTGAGTCCTTACTTTATTAAGGGATGATTTGTTACATTTAGTTTCCATCTTTAACTGTCAATAATTTAAACTGATGACACTGGGTGAATTATCCATCAGCAGTAATGTGTACTGAACTTCCCCCTTTTAGGATTATGATCTGAATTCAGAGTGCAATGCGGAGACAAAAGGGTGCAGGAAGGTTCGCAGGTCTCTCTCCTTGGAAATCTACGGCCTTCAGAGGGAACAGAATGTTTGCTTTACTAACCAGGAGTACTACAGAAGACTGGAGGAGCTGAAAAGTGCCCATCTAAGAAACATGGCTGAGCTGGAGAAGATGTACATCAGCCAGGGCAAGAGGGGAGATAATGAGGGAGGCGTAAGAGGGGAAATCAGAGAGACTGAACAGTCATTCAGGTGAATACAAGCATACAGTCTCCACAGTAGCAAGTGTAATGGTTCAGCACAACAGGAACGTTAAATCAGTATCAGAGTTAAAACAATGTGGCATGAAGTAACGAATAAACACTAATTCTGTGTCGCGCTCATTAGATTGCAAATGAGTGTTTCCAGAATGACTTTGCCCTTAAAAAGTTGGATGAAGCTCATAATAAGATCATAGAAAGCCATAAGCTCACAGACGAATAAGTACCCACTACAGGAGTGTAATTATCTTTTGTTTTGAAAGAAAATGTATTGCCCCCTTTCAGAAAACTCCAGAGGATTAATTCCCAGGAGGAGCTGGACTTCCAAGAAACGTCAAGCGGCTCAGATCAATCAGAACTCTGTGGAACGGACAGCACAGGAGAACTGGAGCTGGACAATCCAAACAGGACACATGGCCTGGACCGAGCTTTTGGGAGGTAGGTTTTTTGACTGTAGTCATATGACAACCATTTTGATCTGAGGTTACTCTCAGGGCTGGGGGCTAAAATGCTAACACCACATCTGCTGTTCCAATTATTATAACACTGTTTGAGCACTCCACTTTGCGGGTAACACCTGAGAGAAGTGGTCAACATGTGAGGTGAAGAGAATTCTTGAAGGAGCACGAGTAATGAGGCAGAAAGATTTTCTTTCCTGTGTCTTGCCCCCTTTGTTAAAAATGAAAATCCACTCGGTGTATCATCCCATTTCACTCCACTCTTTTTTTTTTTTTTTACCAGGGAGATCCTACTGAGCCCAGAAGAAATTACAACTCGGGAGCAGTTCAGATTCCAGCCCAAGGTTTCCTTTCCCAGTTTGCAGGAAAAAGTGTCCCGTCAAGGTGGGATCAGGGTCCGGCCAAACTCCAAGGTTACCGTGCCCAAACCCTTTCAGATGATGCTGAGAGAGGAGGAGAAAAAAAGGCACCGTGTGCGGACACGCTCAGAGGTAGAACTGGAGAACACGCTGCTGAGACAAGAGTTAGAAGAGCTCAGAGAATGTCAGAAACAGTTCAGGGCATCACCTGCACCAGCACATATTTATCTACCTCTCTACGACATCATCAGCCGCCGCTCCAGTCAGCGGCCCAGCTGGAACAGAAGTGACAACAATAACAACATCAACAAAAACAACCAGGTCTCTAATGCTGTGTCAGCACAACCTTTCCATTTCCTGGAAAGAGAGAGGAGGAAGAGGGAGGCGAAGATTGTGGCAGAGCTGGGGAAGCAGGGACTGAAAAAGGAGTTCAAGACATTCAAGGCTCAGCCTTTGCCCAGCTCAGTGTATGGTACCAGACACAGAGGAGGAGCCAGGACAACGAGCCGCCAACTCCAGTCTACTACCTGGACACAAGGAAGGGAAGTCACCAAAAGTGATTCAAACCCTGACATGGAGCTGGATGTGGTCCGGTCCAAGTCAGATACCACTCCTGACTCCAGCAGGGCTCAGAAATGTCTGCACTCCAAGCCAGTGAAAAAGCAAATAGAGCTCTCCATTGAGATGGTGAAGGAAAGGCAATGGTCTTAAAACTGCAAGAAACACCTAAACTGTGTAGTCAAGTGGTCTGGAGTTTTTGCTGTATTATAAGGAAGTCTATATCATGTTCAAAGGAAAACCGAAGAAAGACATTAAAAGGACAAAACAAATAGCTACATGTAAATCACATTTTGTTTTATGCTAGTCTACTGAATCGTAAAACATTGTAAAGTAATTCTTAATCAGACACATAGTTTGAAGCAGATGGATTCAGTGTTGTATTTTTGTGCAGTACATTAAGTTTTTTTTTCTTGTGACAACTTTATGGATTAAAAGGTCAGCATTTATAAAAAATCTTTTCCTCGAAGTTCTTGACATTCAGCATCAAGTCATTGTCGTCAACCACCAGGAGCTGAGGATCAAACCACAAAGTTCTGCAGTTCTTCCTGAGCTGCAGCCAAAGTGAAAATTTAAAAAATTAAACACATACTTCATTTATTATTTGTATTCCTAGGACTGCTTTAAAACATAACTAGCATATGCATTGTTTTGTTTTTTTGTACAGTTCAAACATATGAGCATGTAGAGGAGTTTGAGTGCTAACACAGGGAAGTCCCCTGTTATACAAATATGTTTTGGAAACACAAGACATAAGTGTTCAAATGGACAAGACATTGTGTAGCTGATACCAATAGCGGATATTTAACTAAAACATGTCCCCACTGTGTGAGAGGAAGACTTTTACAGAACAGTTGCAGTGTAAGTACAGGACTTCAAAACACAGATTAAAAAAATCATAAACAATTTAATAAACTGTATTTCATGGATGGCTATATATTTTTTTTGTTTAATCTTCACTCTCACGCATTATTTTTGGTTACAGCAAACATTTTTGCAGGAACAGATTCCATTACTTTCCACCAGAGGTCGATGGTGACCAAAAAGAGAGTCACGGTATGAATTAATTCACACTTGGGAGCTGGCAATACAAAATACACTGCAAATATATGTTTGGCTTAACAAGAAAAATCAACATCCTTCCTGTCTGTTGGCATGGTATTATGGGTCTTCGAAAGCCTCACCACCTGTTGACCATGCAGACCTAACACATCAGTCACCAACACGTGTTTTCAACGGAGTTTCTTTAAAAGACTGACACCTCTTGCTATAGGACTTTTATAGACATTCTGACAAACCCAAGATGCATTTTATGGATAAATTCGACTGTTCATGATACCAGGGTATATGCCTGTTTTGTTGCCTTGACATTTATGCAAAGAGAGACCACTTGTGAAGCAGCATTGCAACAAATAGAAGGACATAAAAACATGCTGTTGGTGAAACTGCCCGTAGGGGGCAGTCAACTATGAGGAAAAAGACTCATCAAACTCCTCCAAGACAAACACACACACGCACCGCTCCCTAAAGTAGAGATAGTTACGCACAAGGGGAGGTCGTCCGATATGTCATCCTTGGGGAAGTCCGGTGTTTTTAGCGGACATAAAAGGAACCCGGAGAAGGGCCGAACCACAGTTGATCTGCAGCTTGACTGTGCACGGGGGACTTAACGCCGCATCACAATGATTGGACTTTACCTGTGGATCCTCATCTGTGAGTTATGGGATTAATCGATTTACGATGGTAGGGGTTCTTTGCGCATCCGTTTTTTTCAGGACAGGTGCGTCGGAGGGCACGGTATCAAATGCAAAACTGCTTACAGGTTTGCGGATGTTTTCCTTTCAATCATTTGATGGGATTGATTGTTGAAAATTGTTTACCTACAAGCGGAACCATGTTGCATGGCAATATCTTTACCATAATTATTTTTAATGTTAAACACTGTTTTGAGCTTACTACATAAAGTTGCTCTTACAGACTTATAAACTTCTGTTTGTATTAGAACAAACAGCGTGCGCGCGTGAGTGCAGTCTCCCACGGTACGGTCTGACAGGTTTACGCAGGTTTAGTTCTGACCTGCAAAATAACGCAGTGGTCAAACTGTGGTAGCTGGCCTCACGTGATCACACAGCTACGCTAAACTATGCAGATAATCCTTACTCAGTCCTCACTTCACCCAGCCGTCTCCAGGGGCGTTTTGCAGGTTTGATTGGGATGATCGATTTGCTTATCTTGTGGCTATACTTCTACACGAAGACACAATTTCTAATTTCTAACTACCCTTTGCACATTTTTGGTATATCACCAGCTGCTTAAGCTTGCATTAAACTCGTCACAAAATATGAAGGTTGGGCTACTGTATAAATTTTCCCCTGGAAAAACTTGATCAAACCATGTTTTTCTAGATAACACCAAGCCTATGTTTGTGACCATACTGAAAAAAAGAATTGCTTTCATGCCACGACAAAGTAGGAGAAATTTGAGAATTATATTCACAATTTTCGGTTTCCACCGAAAATTACTCTGATACTCTGTCAGATACTCTGACATGGTAGTTAATTACCAGTATGCAGAGCAAGCTATCCTATTCTCTGTATCATTCATAAAATATTCAGTTTAACCTAATAAAATACTTCGTGCAATTAGTTTAGAAGAAATCTGCCTTCCAATGTTTAGAATAAAAGCTGAGATGAAAGTTTTCTGTCTCCTGTTCTCTCCAGTTGGATTTTCAAAGATTTGCAGTGGATATGAAGTTATCTGCACGGTGTCCAAGGATTCTCCAGGGGTACTTTACAGTGTTGCAGAATTTAAGGCATCCGACTGTTGGTACAGCTGGGCTGACAGCAATGTAAGTCAAACAAACTAAGTTCAGTAATTTTACATTTTTAATTCTGGGAAAGACTACAGCTCTTATAGGTGTTTGAAGCTGCACCTGTGTTTGACATCAGAATCAGAATCAGAATGCCTTTTATTGTCATTATACGCAGTACAATGAGATTAAAGCCACCCATATCAGTGCAAAACATTGGAAAAAAGATATATAGAAAATATAGAAAATATGAACCGAGGTTAATATGAAGTATATACAGTGTAAACATATGGACCTGAGATTCTTTTTACAGGATAAAATGGTACAGATATGCATAAATGTAATATGTAACAGTATAAGGTATAAAGTGCACAGTCCTGAGATCCTATTAACAGAATAACTATGGTAAATATACAGAAATAGCATAAATGTAATGTGCAGATGAATGTATATTGTCCAACAGTGATTTGGAATATTGCACATGTTTTAGGTATATAGGAATAGAAATATGACACCAGAGTAATATGAAGTATATACAATGTAAACATATGGACCTGAGATAATTTAACAGAATAAATATTGTACTACGGATATGCATAAATGTAGTAAGCAACAGTATAAAATATAAAGTGCACAGTCCTGAGATTCCTGTTTACAGAATAAATACGGTAAATATACAGAAATAACATAAATGTAATGTGCAGAAAAATGTATATTGTCCATCAGTGTTTGGAATATTGCACATGTTTTAGGTATTGCACAAAGGGAAGTCAGTGCATGTTGGAGTTCAGCGTGGTTACGGCTTTTGGAAAGAAGCTGTTTTTGAGTCTGTTTGTCCTGGCCTTGAGTCAAGAAATGTCAAGGCAGTGATTGTTTTGAAGATAATTGGACTCTGAAGGTCTGAATCTGTCAGTCTTAACCAGTTTGTTGAGATTGCCCAACTTCATTAATTCTGTCCTGATTTAAAATTTCATTAACAATGTAAGTGCTACATTGAGATGTTCATGTCCATATTATTTCTTAACAACTGGGTGTGATTTGCAATGTAGCCTCCAGCTCTCAAAACTCCAGCTATCCAATTTTTTTTAGTGGGTGTGGTAATTCAGAATTGTTTACTAATACCAGACTTTACTCAGATTACTCTTGTTGCTGTCGCTACCCATCCTCTTATTTCTGATGACAGAAGAAGATAATGGTTTCTTTTGGTTTTGTTTTAAGAGCGGGTCGTTGGATCACAAATTAGAGCAGTGCACAGTTTGGTGTCACTATCAACATCTCCCTGTATTTAAGATACTATTTATTCTTTTGAATTTTTGATTTAAGTGGGAAACTGTTTGTTTTGGTCGTGAACTAAAGAGGAATCAAAGTTCACAGTTTGTGTGACTATTCAACCCGAAAAAGAAAAATCATAATTTTACAAGTTCATCAAATTCACACATTCATTGATTAAAAATAAAAATAGGCTGAGGCTTACAGCTTATTTCTTCAAATCCTATACAAACAGATATATCCCATATTGGATATTTTTCAAGTTAAATTAATTCAGGGAAAACTTGGATGTATTGCATGCAGGCAGACAATCATTCAGGTACTGATGATTTTATTGCCTTTCATTTGTCAAATTCAGCACACAGTGTTGGCCAATCACCGTGGGAAGATTGAGGAGCTGGTAGAGAGGAAGAGCAACCGGACACTTCTCCTCAAGAAGTGCAAGGTTCTCATCTACTACTCAAGAAACTGCCTCTCTGAGGTATGTAACTTTAAATGCACTCTGGGCAACATCACATGAAATATTCTTAACAAAGATATAAATTAAAGCTATGGATTCTTCGATTGATCTGAGACAAACTGTTCCTGACTAAATGTTTAATTTTTTGCCTGCTTGTTGTCCTTGTACAGGGAGGACCACGCAGAGGGAAGTGCACCAGTGAGTGTTATGACCTGTTAGACTTTGCTGAATATGCAAGTGCCATTTTACATTGAAGTCTTTTCAAGTGACACTGTTCAAGATGTCTCCAATGATTTGGCCTCTGAACTTTCTCCAATTGCAGCTTCTTGCACCATAGAAGAAGCTGGGATAAAAAGAGGTAGGGACTGCATGAAATCTGAATAACCACTCTGTACTCTTAACTCTTTTTTTGGTGGCACCAAAGCCCAAGAAGTACTTATTTAGAAATTTTCTCATGTGACTAAACTTCTTGCTTATTGTCAAAAATGAAAAATTTTCATTTGTGAATACCAGAAAGCCTTGAGTCACTAGGGAGTATTCCTTCTATCTTTTTTAAATCACAATTTGTTTATTGACTTTTTTCATTTTTATGAACATGCATTCACAGACATATCAATACAGCACACAAAGAACAGGAACCCTTTAACCCCTCTCCCCTCCCTCAATAAGATTTATGGTAGAAATGTACACACAAGTATGAGTATGCAGATACACATTTCACGTACCTCAAGTCTATAATCTGGTCCTCGTCTTCATTTCCGCATTACACAATACCAACGCTTCAGACATGGAACTAGTTGCAAGCCATTGAGAGATTATGAAGTCAGTGATAACTATCCTTGTCCAGGACCAGGCACTTGCCCGTTGAGGTTATTCATAAAGGATAAGAAAGAGGACCACATCCTGTTGAAGTCCTCAATTTTTCCTTTTGCCATGTAACTCAGTTTTCCCAGTTTTCCAGGTTAGATGCCATTTCTGTAATCCATCGACCAGCGGTGGGTCCCTGGGTCTCCTTCCATGCTAAAGCAACCACTTGTTTGGCTTGTAATAGACAGAAATTAATTAGTTTGCCTTCCTTCACAGTCGCTGCAAAATCCTCAGGGTATATGTGTAACAAACATAATTTAGCCTTAGCTATAAATATTTTTTTCTGTCAGATAGGAGATCAAATCTAGAACCTCTTTCCAAAATAACTTCAATTTATGACAGCTCCGCATACAATGAACAGTGTACCAACTTCTTCCATACATTTGATACAACAGTCAGGAATATTAGGATTGAAGTGGTGTAGTTTAACAGGCATGATGTAGGTCCTAAGCAACCATTTATACTGTAGGAGTTTGCATCTCGTTTTTATAGTTTGAGTTTGGGTTAGAAGACACGCCTTCTCCCAGTCTTCTACACTTATGGTCGACTCAAGATCCTTCCCCCATGCCGATAGATGAGAGAGAGAGTTTAGTACACCGTAAAAGATGAATATTTGACCCCTGCCCTGTAAGTGGTTCACCATAAGATGTTCAATGATAGATAATGACTTTTCCAAAATAGCTAAACCTTCTATCTGTGGTGGTTTTGCTGTTGACATTACACACCCCTCTGCATAGTTGTTGTTTTTTTTAAGGAGAAGAGACATGACAACATTTCTCACAAAAATAGTCCCACACTAAATCATCTGCCAGTTGAATATCGTTACACGGATACGGGGAATTACCTTTTTGAAAGTCAGAGCTCCACCCTTGAGAACAGGGATGGAAGGATGATTCTTCTCATGCATACTGCCATCAAGACTACACCAAAAGTTGTGGGAATCAGACTTGTGACGTTACCAGGCTACCTGCACAAACAATCAAATTGTCAACAAACTGCAACATGACATACTGTTGGCAGAAGGCCACCAAACCGGTCTCTCTTATCTTACTTATGCCCTGAACTACTTTTGTGTTCAATAAACTTAGATTGTGATCAGACTGAACATCAGGCTCATTTAAGGTGTGGTCCAAAACAGACTCAAGTAGATTTTTAGCACACCCCAGGGTGTGTGAATATAGGTGAAGACAAGTTTGCATGACCGGGTAGGTCTTGGGAAAAACTTCTGCTTCACTCAAATACATAGACTTGCATTGAGAAGTAAACACCTGGGGGGAAAAGACAGACAAAAACTTGTCTGAGTTTGTAGGAATTCTAATAATAGTCAGAGGCTGAGCTCTACTTAGGCAGATAAACACAAGGTTCTCATGCATAGTTTTCCCTTTCACCTTTAAGGAAATTTATATCTTGATGAGAAACTATTCAGTATTAACACACAGCAGAGACCAAGCATCTGAAATATGGATGCAAATGCAACTCAGAAAAACAAAAGCTTTATTAATCCCAGGTAACAACCCTGGGAAAAAAAGTTAAAAATAATGTGAGAAGAAAATAAAAATAAAAATCTGGGCCTTTCACAAACTCAACAAGGCAAGTCCATTTATGAAGCATCGCCTGCATGCAGAACAGTTTATGGTGCTTTACAGGTTCAAAGACAAAACATCAATTTGGAAGCATTACAGGAGATATTGCATTAAGCAGAAATAACAAATTAGTGCATAAAGATAAAGAAAGGAATACTATGAAATGAACAGTAAAATCCCCAATATGGGGTATTATCGATAAGTAATCTGCTTTGATTTCCATGCAATATCATCCTTTACACAAATGTACTGACCTTTCAAACAATTAAGATCTGTGAGATACTTGGAAAGTCCCAAATTGCCCATGCTCTGTGAAATATTTTTAATGTTTAAGGGGAGGGGGCACAGAAAGTTATGGCTTTTTCATCTATAACCTTTTTCAACTTAAAAGCCTGACTCAGATCTCAAGCTCATCTTTCTGGTCGATGACACAGCACCAAACAAAACAGGAACATTTAAAGTTCTTCCTCACCTGACTGTAGCTGATGGTGACCATGGCATAACATGCTAATTAGTAGTAAGTAAGAAATATAGAGTCACTAAAGAAAGCAAAAGAAAAATGCTGTATCTGAAATGGGTGTGTGCCTTTTGTACTGAAATGATAGAAATTTACAATAAAAAGTTGGTGGAGTGGGGGTCGAATGAGGGGAAACAACTCCAAAATACTGATATTCGCTGACTTATGTTAGTCAAATAGCAAGAAGTTTTTCAGGATAAAAATGACTCACATCTCCAGCTCATCTTTCTGGCAGATGACAAAGCACCAAACAAAAAACAGGAACATTCTTCCTTATCTGATCATAACCGATGGTCCTCATGGCATGCTTATTAGTGATTAGTCAGGAACACAGAGTCACAACAGAAAGCAAAAGAAACATGCTGTACCTGAAATGGGTGTGTACTTCTTGTACTGAAAAGGTAAAATTGTTCAATAATAGTGTTGTATGGAGATATATTTTGTTGCCTAAAGCTCCCAATTTAACTCTTGGCATAAACAGGTTTTAACAGTATAAATGGCACACTGTTAAAAACCTCCTTTTAGTAGCCTTTGGCAATGCATCTTAGACTTTTAAAGGCAACTTTTGTAATATTAGAGCTACTGAAGGTGCTATTGATAATAAAACGTTTTTCTTTTTACAGCCAGTCATCAATTCCAGCCAAACTGGACTGCGATTTCTTTGGCCATTTCTTTTGCATTGTTGGTGCTGGTTGGACTTGCCCTGTGCTTCGTTTTCCGAGATCGTCTTTGCCGGTATTTTTTCTTAATGGCATTTACAAAATAACACTTACTCCACCCATCTTGAACATGCTTTGATTCACTTCTTTTTTTATGATATAGCGGCCCAAGTTGCTTCTACTCTCCAGTGAAAAGGCAGGACACTCGAGAGAGGAGGGCAAGCATGGATTTAGGAATACCTTTCTAAGGTGGGGAGGGTTCCTTCAAATCAAATTCCACATTCAGTGTAACTGTAACAGAAAACCCTACTGTTTTATCCCACCTGCACTGGCTACATCCTGTTCTTGTTTTGTTTTGTTTGATTTTCAACTGATCTTCAAGACTTGATCCCTGATCCCTTTTATTTGTTTTTATTTGTGTTCAGGCTCCAGACTAAAATGACAGTGTCTGTTCTGTGAGTGCCTGCACTGAGTAGGAAATAAGAACTGCAGCTAAGCAAAGAGAAAAGTTACATTTTTAGAAACCCTCCCCTAAAACACACCGTTATTAACAAACTCCGGTCTCAGTCATATTTTGGTACCATTTTTTTCCATGATATTTCACTCTACACCTATTCTGTTAATTGCTGAGTGTTACTTTACTTTCGGTTTTCTTGTAATCTGTACTTACATACTTTACATGTAACTGGTCATTTTTGTGTGTGGTTGGTTTACTGTATTGTTACATAATAGTTTACCTGAATACCTATTAGTGCATCTAAGATATAAAGATGTAAAATTTAGAGTACTTCAAAAGTGTTTTATTACAAGCAGTGTGGTTTTACATGGGGCTTTTATAGTATGGCATAGTAAGTTAGGCAAACAATGTATCTTAACCGTTTTATACTATTTTACATATTATATACTGTATATATTATATTATTTTAATGTGTCTGTAATCTCCGAGAAGTTAACTTTTGGTTGTTTGTACCATCACCGATCAGCAAATCTCCTTGAAAGAGCATAGTTAAGCAAACACTTATCAAACTATAAAGTCCTGCTCTTTTCTTAGTTGCTTTGTTGATTGTTTTACCCTTGCCAAACATTTTGGGTCATATCTGGAGCCAGTTTTTGTCATTTTGGATACAGAAATACTTGGTAGCTCATTTTGACAACTTAGCTTCATGGCAACATTGGAGGAGGCTTCCTGAGGTACTAGAGCACTGGAAGCCCCAATGAGACAGTAACTGAAGTGAAGGAGTTCAGGCAGCAAACACCAGTTTGAGAAAAGCAAAGAAGTACTGTGGTTTAAATCATGTAAAGCTGCTTACAAAGCCATTCAAGGGTCAAAATTAAGCTCAGTAGTGAGTATAATACCCTCTCTTCAAGTCAAACAAAAGACAAGGATGTTAATTTCTGTGCACAAGCTTGCCAGCTTTCTAAATTTTGAATTATAATATGAGAGAAGAGTTGTAGAATTTTACCCTGGTTTCTGCAGCAGCTACATCTTTTTCCTTATGGGTATTTCTTCTGCCTCTTCAGGTGTAGGGAAAGGTTGTGGATGAGAAAAATATGTAAAGAGGTCAGAACTAAGAGTACAAGTGGCATGCATCAGAAGGCCTGAGCGTGAATAAGAACTTGGCCCTGCATAAGTATGTTGTAGGACACCGCTTGAGTATCCAAACAGAAGAAAACAACATTAGTAAAAGCCTAACCTTGGTTGATGAAATAACAACAGTAAGGCCTATCCTACTCTTCATTATTTTCAGTACAGGGCCTTTTTTTCCAGCCAGCAGTGAGGAGTGCCCTGTAAAGGAGGCAGACAGTGTTTTTCCTGTTAGATCCATGGTTACATTTACACAGTAAATAGTGTCCTGTTAATGTTTTTGTTTTTTGGTCCTTCTGCAAGGCCCAGAAGTGATAAAGTAACTGACAAAAGGGTTGGCTTTATGCAGCACATGTTAATATATACAGTATTTATATACGCCACAATGTACAGGGTGTGGGTGTTGCTTTTCAGCATGAGGTGAGGTGATAGGTGAAAGCAGAGCAAATAACTAGTCATTTCGTTTTGTTTTTTAGTCTAAAACTTAAATCTTTCTTTTAACTTTGTACCTTATGAAATGTTTATTTTTATAATATATTTTGTATAATTTACTTTATAAGGACCTCTTTCTGTGATTTTCTTTGTTGTTTAAGATTAAACTCCACGTTTCAGAAAAAAAGTCTGTTTTCATTCTTGTACAACAACAACAAAAAGTTTTGTTTCTTTATCTGATGAATTCTCAATGATCGAGAAGTCAGGCGGTGTGCAGGAACCAAAGAGAGTGAGTCATATGTGCATGCTCTCAGTACTTCCTTAGGTTTAAGCAGTAACAAATGTTCATATGATTCATATGCTCATTTTGGCATATGAACATATGACTGAATACAAGTCCAAGTCATGAAACATACTTTGATAAAAAGAAGAAACTGTTCATATTTTCCCGGTACACAGACTGAAGCTCCGAGGAAACGAACCTGTGCCTGTTAAGATCACAGAGGTCATGACCACGAGACAAAGAGAAAGTCGTGTGACAGTTTTCTGGTTGTGTAACTTCTCTTGTCTGTTGCTAGTAATCTGTTCATCTAAATATAATGCTGGAGGTGTTTCCGGGTTGAGTTCAGCTGAGAAAACAGACAGGGAACAAAATAGCTGGCTTATACTTTCTTTGTGGTTCAAAATCAAAACAACACCGTGTAGTTCATAGACAGACCATGGCTGCAGGTTTTTAATTGAAAGAGATCAGATTTTTTGTTAAGCAATGGGAAGTCCCTTTAAGTTTTCACAGTTTTATAGTTGCAATGACTGTGGTGCATAAGCTTCATTTTTCCATGTAAATTAATAAGAACAAAAGGGAGTTCAACCTAAACAGCCCTGCGAGGTATGTCAGATCATCCAGAAGAAAACATTTCTACTTACATCAATGCTCACAGGAAGTAATGTCTTTGTCTCATTGTCAACAAACAGAAGTAAATTGAGCTGGGATTTTATGTGCATTAATATTACTCTGGTATTGCTCTTGTTCTGCAAAGTTAGTAGCCTCTGTTAGGAGGTGTTCAAGAATCAAAACCAAGTATTTAATAAGGCAGGGTGATTTTCCAGAAAGCCAGGTAATAAAGTACATTAAAGGGATATTCCGGCATAAAATTAATTTAGGGTCAAACACACCATAACACTGAGTTAGACACCCCCTCGAGAGATGAATGTTGCTGACCGCTTGCTTCTCTAGTTATACCAACTTTAGTAATGACCGCAGGATAGTAATACACAGTGGTCTGAGGAGCCATAAACAACCCTCAACCAAAAGCCACTCTATAGCCACAAATAATGCTCAGAACAGCACCTAACTTCATCAACAGGACATAAAGGGTCCTAGCAGTAGCACTAGCCACCAAACATTTTAGCAAAAGACTAAACACAACTCACCCACTCTCTTCCAGCAGCCGGTTGATTGTAGTGAGACCTCGGGCCAGTCCATTACAGACTGCTGCGGGGTGACGCAGCTCAAAGAAAACATTTATGATCATTTTTTAAATCATTTTCCTCAAGTAATAATCACTGTATTAATCATTTTGCACTGCAGACGCAGTAGTTCTTCTGCCTTAGCGTCTCTTTCTGATTGCATTTCCACAAAGAAATGATCAGAAATGTTCTTTGAGCCACCAAGAGGATGTTTCAGTGCTGTATGGGCAAATGTTGATATTATGGATTACAAGTGACACTGTAAACTGCAATTTTCAACTAATACTCAAATAGCAACTGCAGTATGAATTGATGCCAGTGCAGAAGTGCTTAGAATTGCAGTTCTTCAAATGTCTGCCTGAGGCTGGCTGCAAAAGCCCCAGAAACTAAATATACACTCATTCTACAAGGCCAAGCTATACCGCAGAATTAAATCTGTTTCACAAGAAAAAAGTAGTCACAAGTTCTGCACAATAAGTTGCATTGCTGACTTGACTGGACACAAGCTTTTAGCAAACTCCACCTCGTGACCTCACTTGTCCAAATGGTTGCAATGTGATAACCATAGTTAAAAATATGCTTCAGAAACCAGTGAGTGACACTGAGCTGAGGTTATGTCCATGTTTTATGCAATGATTTTAAAAACCACCTAGGCATATAATAGTGCCTATGAAAATGGTCACTTGTTTAACACAAACTTCCATCTTGTAGCAGGATGAGAAATCTAATCTTTCTTTTTTTTCCTTTACAAATTAACAAATAATAAATTCATTTGCTAGGATCAGAAAGACAAAAACAATAAAAAGGAAAAGAGGAACTAGACCAAAGTTATATCCTGTCTTAAGCTAAGAACCCTGTACTGTACTGAACCCCTGTTCACTACGTCTGAAGATACAATTTACCTCCTTGGATTTCTGATCAATGTACACAGTAACTGTTCCTCCACAGATCTCATTAACCTGCAAACAACGAGCAGTCGTAACATGCATGAACCAGGAATTTAGGATAAGAGGCACGAATTGCCCACACCAGTCTTTGTGTAGACAAGAAACTCCTCCTAACCCTACTCACAGAGGGCAGAGCTCTCACCTTACGTGTCAGCCCTCACGCATCTTATCTTTGGTTTTTAAACTTAATGTCTGAATATAAATCAGAATGGGTAGTGAACAGCAACCTACATGGAATTCAAAGTTCTCCAGAAATCTACGCAATAACTGATGCACTGTCAGGGCTAAATAACAGTCAGCCAGGTGTCATAAATTCAGAAGGGCTGCCAGGTTGTTGTTGTCACACATACCTTTGTTTCCAAGGCAACCCTGGCAAATACTCAGCACTCTGGGCCTCTAAACGTGAAGTGTCAATTGTTATTACATGCTTGTTTGTGTGATAAAGATTGAATGGGGTTTTGCTGAGTCATCTCTCCTTCAGTCTCACCCTAGAAATAATGCTATGGCTGGTGTTTGTCATAAGATTTCCAGACTGTGCTGGTTCAACTGATTTGAAGGAGCAGAACTTTGCACTCGTCAAAGTTATGAGCTTCCATGTATCTCAAATTTCTGCCTTTAACACGAATCAGACTAAATGAAAAAATAAAAGAGAAAACTGCAGGGAGGAGCAACCATGGGTCTGCCCTCTAGCCACTTCCCTGTCCGAGCAGCAACTGTCCTACACCTGCTAGTTGCTGCGTAACAAATCTGTTGGCTTTGTTTTGTTGTTGTTTAATCACTAGGTGTTATGGGGAGTTGTGTGCGTGCGCAAAATTTTGAGGGTTGTTTGGGTTGGGTGGAGTGTTTCTTACGCGCTTCTAACTTAGTTAAATATATTTTCTGAATGACAAAACAGACACTTAGCCTACCAGTATCTTGGAGGTACTGACAAATACTCACACAAAGTTGTGTTTATAAACAATAAATTCATTTATCTGAAGGATTTCTCCACAACAAAATTATCAGTCACATACAAATATTTCTCCCTTTTCTGTCACTCACCAGCAGTTATTTTAAGCAGTTAACATTTTCAAAACAGAAAAGAAATTGTAGTTGAGGTTACTGAAAGTGGGTACCCTGAGCCAACTTGTCAGGTTTCTTTTCAATGATAATTGATATGATTTAGTCTCGTTTATGTCCTCTTTGGCATTGGCCTGAGTCATTTTTTCTCTGATTCTTGGAGACTTGGAGTTTTCTTGTATACAGTAAACTGCATCTTATTTGGTTTTAAAAACTCAAAATAACAATAAGTTCACCAATCTACCAAAAATGGATTTGTTTATTTTATTTGGATTATTATTATTATTATTTTTTGTATTCCGTAGTGCAGTGTAACCATAGTTCATTACACTTAATTTTAGTGGTTTTTTTTGTCTTTATTACTTTTTCACTGCTCCATCCTCTCTTCTTCAACAGTTAACAGGGGAATTTCTACTTCTTCTCTGCCCTTTGATGCTTCCTGTAAACATATTAAGAAAGCTTAGATATGAGGTGTGGTTACCTGGGAGATCAGTGTTGTGCGGTGACACGTTCGAATGATTGTGATGTAAATGACTGACAGGGGCCCCATTCTAACAGGGTGAGAAATCCTCAGGTGGTGTGGCATGTGCCTTGTGAAGCTACGGGCGTGAGTCAACTGGAGCTCAGCTGTACACATGGCCTGAAGGTTCAGGGTGTGGCTAGTTGTTGTAACATCTACAGATTTACAGCAGACAGGTCAATAAAAGAGGCAACAATAGTTATCACATTACTTCTACTGAACTTGATTTTCTATTCCGTGACCTGGTATGTGTAACCAACCACAATTCAAACTGCATTACTTAAGATTTTATTAAAATTGGTGCAGCTTTGAAAATAAATAACTGATTTACAAATCATGAAAACCACTTTATTCACTGAAGTGTCATAGATGTACAGGTAAGAATTAAAAAAAAAAACATTGCAAAATGCCTAAACTTGAGAATGAAGCATGCAAAACTATATGTGACAGGCTGATTTGGAAGACATGACTTCTAAATTTTACCCTAACCTCCCTTATTGCAGCATTTTCAACATTTCTCTTCTTTTCTCATTTTTTTCTCACTATATCTGATTTAATTTTCTTTTTTTTTAACATGCACTTGTCATGGCGCAGGGCTAAACAAAGGAAAAAGGACCCCAAAATGCAGACTGAAAAAAGGATTAGATAAATAAAAGACTAAACTTGAAACAACAAAAACCAACTTCAGAAATGTCCAAGAGAAAAAAAAACAAAGAAACAAAAGGCACTGGGAAAAAAAACAAAAACACTGGAATCAAAAGACATTGGGGAAATAACCATGTGGAGAACAAGACATAAACTGACACTGACCGACAAACTAATGAACCGACAAGGACAGAGGGGAAGACAGGGACTATATACACACACAGGGAAATGAACAGCAAGTGAGGCAGACGAGATACAGGTGAAACTCATGGGTGATCAACCAAGGAGGGAAAACTGAGGACATAAAACCAGACTGTACCTTAACACAAGGAATCAACTACTGCAAAATAAAACAGGAAACAGAAACTGATCTAAAGAATAAAACACAGAGAACAGGAGAGGTACAGGATCAAATACAAACTGAAAACTCACAAGACTGGACTACAGGGGAACAGGAACAACAGGGAACATGCACAAAAAATGCACTCAATTAACAAAACCAGGGAAAAACTACATTTACAGAACATATCAGCACTAGAATTAAAATTA